GGGAGGAGGGGAACTTGAGCTTGGTTGATTCACCCGAGGCGAATCATTAATGGCGACTACGTGTTTCGGTTTTCAAAGCACTCAGTTTTTCTTGACTCAACAGTTGAGGAAGGGAGGGAGAGAGAAAGAGAGAGAGACATTCTTATTGGTTTCATTGACTTCTCTTGGGGTAACTGGATTGTTTGGGTTATCTTCCGGCGCGGGGATTGGGTAACTAGACAGTTATTTCAATTTGCAGTGAGAACGGAGGCGGAATAAGAGGGGCGACTGGGGAGGGGCGCAATTATAACGGATTTTATTCTTCGAGGGTTGAACAGTATTGAGGGTCAAATGGAAGGGACGGGCGGAGGTCAAGAAGGTCAAATGGGAGGGACGGGCGGATTTCAAGAAGGTCAAATGGGAGAGACGAACGAAGTGATCAGCAGAACTAAACTTTCTTGAGGATCAACTGAGAGAGACGGGCGGAGGGGTCAAGAGAGTCAAACGGGAGAGCAAGAGAAGTGATCAGGAGAATCAAACTTTCGTAAAGGCCAAACGGGAGGAATGAGGGTAGTGATTACTCCAGTCATCCCTCCCATCAGAACTTCAAGAACGTTTGACCCTTCTGATTACTCTTTTTATCTCTCCCATTTAACCCTCCAGAAATTTGAACCCTCTACCTGTCTCTCCCGTTTGACCGTCAAGACTGTTTAACCTTAAAGATCATTTGCCCCTTCATCATTTTTTTGACTAATAGACATGAAAAAAACAAAGATATTCGAGTCGAAATTGAAAAAGTCACGCCCACTGAAAAAAAAATCCCAAAAAACTTGACAATACCGCCTCCCATAAACACCACTATGCGCTCGCCCAAAACAATAGGAGTGCAAAGTAGGATTGAGAGCCGAAGACGTCTACCTCTGACAAAGGAAAACAGTCCAAAAAACGAAAAGTGCAAAAAACGCACGAGACGAATAAGAAAAGGAAAGATGAGGAAAAAAACCGGTGGGGGAGAATAGAAGAGTCTGTGGGCGGTCATGCGCCAACAGAGAGTAGGAAAATCCAAGGTACTCACCCGGGGGGGCCAGCGACATCAAAACTCCTCAATGAGAGCCGGTACTGGAAAGAGTAGTAGTCAGTCTGGCCGCGCGCGCCTTCGACTACTGTCCACTCCACTCCACTTATCCCCAAATATCAAGTCTAGTCACACGCGATTTTTTGTACCTTTTTCTTTCTTCACTTTTATCGAGAGATCGAGATACTTTTCGGGCGCAATGAGTCTCTAAAATTACGTAAACTATTTCAGGTAAGTGAAAAAAAAATTATTTAAAAATTAGTGAAAAAAAAATTGAAAAAAAAAATGTTTTTTTTTTTAGTTTTTTCAACTTGATGAAATAAAATAATTCCAATGATGCTATCAAAAAATTTCATACAAAAAAAAACAACACGCTTTGCCCCATTTTCAAAAAAAAAACCTTTAATATTTATTTGTAGTTATTTTTTCCATATCTTTTGCAGAAAAAAAAAATTTAAAAAAATTTTCAAAAAACATTTTTTTGAAAAAAAAAGCAAAGACAATTTTTTACTGTATTTCGAAAGCTACTCGGGCAAAACGGGTGTTTTTTCTCATTTTCTCCAATTATGAAACAAAAAAAAATGTTGACATTTAAATTAATCTCAATTTTTGCCAATGCAACAAACATGTAATCGTCATATAATCCGTGTTTCTTCAGCTTAATTACACAGACGACAAATTTGACAGTTGACAGTCAGTCCAATGGAATGATTTCTTTCTCACAACTGAGATCGCTTCACAACACCGCTCTCTGAACATTAAATATATTAATAATTTAAATCCCTGGGGGGCACAATCGCGCATAATAAAACTCTAGAATCAATCCCTTACTTTTACTCTTTTTTTATTCAACCGGTTGTGAAATTGCGAATAAAAGGCATGAGCACGTGAGTTGCGACAACAAAACGTAACACACGGGTGAGGATAATTAGAAGTGACTAATCTTCCGTTTACTCCATTCTCAAGTAGAGAATAAAGAGCTGTGAAATAACACAAAATGAGGGCAATGGTGTCCAAGGATGACGGATTATCAAAAATCATTTGCCCGAATAAAAAGGGAAAAAAAAAGTGGAATGCCCCGGCGAGTGGAACGTGACTGGATTTAACCCACTTATTTATTTGTAACGTATACTACAATGTTTTAAAATGAAGTGGCGGTGAAAATAAAGAGAGGGCTTTTAATTCTCCGATTTAATATTATTTCGCAATTGCCATTGAACTGAGATGGAGGAGATAGATTGCAGTTATAAATCACCGACGGAACTCTGTGAATTCGTAAAATTCTATTGCGTATACAATAATTCTGCATAATTGTTAGTGAAAACATTGAGAGAACAAAAGGAATGTTTTTTTTTCATAAGTTAGGAGATGGAATAGTGGATGCAGTCATTTTGTGAAGGTTTAATTGGTCTTGAAGACGTGGGAAATAGGGTAAGAGCGGGGCAAACTGGAACAGTAGCAAAAAACGAATGTGTAACGAAATTTGCATTTTTTCATCTTTATTGTTAAAAAAATGACGAAAGATCAGATTTTCTTAAGAGACCCTCGTATTTTTTGTTTGACCCTCTTGACCCTTATGATCGCATTGACCTGTCAAGAATCTGTGATCCTCCCGATCACTTCACTAATGCCTCCTATTTGACCCTCAAAAAATAAATTTGCTGCCAGTCCAATTAGACCTACTTCCGCTATGCTACATATTATTTTATCCCTATTGCTTGAAAAATTATGAAGGGTCAAATGGATTGTCCTATTTGACCCTCAAAAATCGTTGACCCTTCAATCGATGGATTTTGTGATTCTTCAATTTCTTTCATCTCCATTACTAAAAAAAAATTACGGAGGATCAAATGGGAGAATGGGTTTGATGTCTTCGTTTGACCCTCTTGACCCATCTGCCGGTTTCTCCCATTTGACCCTGAAAAATCATTAACCCTTCAATCGGTGGATTTTGTGATTCTCGAATTAAAAAAAAATCTCTATTACTAAAAAAGATTATGAAGGGTCACAAGATTTTGAGGGTCAAACGGAAGAGTCAGACGGATTTCCCCATTTGACCCTTTCGCCTGTCTCTCCCATTTGGCCCTTAAAAATCCAAATCCTATTAAATTTGGCAAAAGTATATTTTTTTCTCAGTGCACCGTTCCACTTAGCCCCACTCGCCGCTAAAATCCCTCCACTCAACCAAGTCACAATCAATTTCACCCTCTACCAATACCGCAAACCATCTCAAAGTACCTAGAACTCTCTAACGCCGCACAAAGTCACGTATTTCGAATGGTTGGTTTTTGTGGGGGAGGCTGTGGTACCCACAAGTTTCGGTAGCTTTGTTATTTTCAACATTTCATCACCCCTAAGTTGCCGTCAACTTCCGAAACTATGGATTTTCGGGATTCCCCGACGTCTAATGGCGTTGACAGGTGGTCCATTGTAGTTGAACTAGTGCTGTTAATGGAAGTTAAAGCACTGTGGGTGCCTTTCAAGAAACAAGGAAGTTGATATTGATGTCCCGCAATGTCACCAGAGTGATTTTACCCTTTCGTGAGACATTATTCAGATGAAAATTACGTTTTCCGTGAATTATCACGAATTTTTAAAGGAAAATTTTGTCACTTCATCCCTTATCGTTGTTCGTTATTACAAATGGATGATCAAAAGGTAGATTTGAACCAGAAAATTGTGCCTCAGGGCGATAGCTCGGTCGGAAAAATGTAAACGGAGTATAATACTGGTATAAACATTAGATATTGTATTGATTCTGTACGTTTTTTGAACTGAATCTTTAATTGAACTTTATATAAATTTGTATTTAGTATTTAGTATTGTTAGTATGTATTTATTAAAAATTGAATCATTTACTGCTTATTCTAAAAAAAATCGCGAGCATCGATTTGTCGGGGGCATTTCAAGTTTAGTTTTTTGTAAATATCTTTGAATCCAATGGAGATAGTTTAATTTGCATCAGAACCTTTTTTGCAGCTCTTCATTCGCCCCACAAAAAAGTTGAAAAGAAAAAAATAGTCTATCTTCCGTAGAGTCCGACATATTCAGCAAAAACTAAATTCTTTCTTTCTTTAAAAATCGAAAATGCAAGAATTGTCAATTCCTTTGAAATAAAAAGACTCAATAATATTTATTAACTTGCAACAAATATTAAATATTAAATATTAATCATCCTCATGCATCATCAATCATTGACACTTCCCTCTTTGTTAAGCATTAAATTATCCCGATAAATTGTTAGATTTCGCAGTGGTTATGCGACTGATTAACTTGGAAAGGGCGTGTCTCCTGGTGACAGCAATCTACGGATTGGTTAATGCTGATACATTTACATTGGGATATATCACTGGGTCAAAACGGCGAATGGGGGATCTAGAGTACCAGAGACCTGGATACCGGATTTCGGGGGCTATAAATCTTGCTGTCGAAGAGGTAAGTAACTGTCTTGCGGAGAACATTGCATTATCTCCCGAATGGGGGAATTTAGGTAACTGAAATTGTTCCATACGATAAATCCAAATATTTTCGATCCAAAGGATATTTTTGTCGCTAATGTCACATAAAGAATTTAAAAAATGAGAAAAATATATTTTTTCCTCATTTTCTCTTGAAAACATCCAAGTTTTTTGACGCGATTATTTATAAATTTATGAATTGAAATTATTTATAAATTATAAAATAAAATTGGAAAAACAAAAATTCTCAAATAAATTGAAGAATTATTATTGATTATTAATTACTAAAACGTAAACAATTCATGATAATTATGCATAAATAAGTCATTAATTCCAAAAATTTTGAAAAAAATGAAAAGTAATCAACGGAATATAATTACTTTTGCAAAAAAATGACTTTTTTAAAAAACATTCTGTGTTACTAAGTTAATGATGTAAATTGCTGAAACTTCTAAAAATAAAGAAAATAAAATTTAATTTCATCATATTTTTAAAAATTGCACAAAAAAAATGTTAAAATACTTGGATTTTTTCAACTAAAAAAATTTTATTTTAGAAATTGAGAAATAATGTTTAAAAGTAGTTATTTGAGGATGACTTACATCAGGTAAACACCGGTGAGCTCAGACATCTGGGACACAAACTGGACTTCATAGTGGCCGAGACATACGGCGAGGAGGACACTAGCATTCTGGTGACCGCTGAACTGTGGACAAAAAACGTCAGTGGTTACATTGGACCCCAAGAGACTTGCGTTCACGAGGGTAAAATGGCAGCAGCGTTCAATTTACCGATGATTTCTTACGTGAGTTTGAAATTTTAACCCATGATTTCACAGGATTTTTACTCTTTCGGGTGATTTCATTCCCTTCAATTTGCTAAAAGCACATGTTTGTTCGTGAAAACTCCCAGGAATATTAAAAAGGTCGTGAGTTTTTTCTTCCCTTCTGAATCAACAAATTCACAAAAAAAAAATAGAAGTAGTAAAAGGGCGTATCTGGACGTATAGTGTTAGAAGGTCGTATTTCCACGATATACGCCCTTCTTATCCCAAATAAAAAAATGAAATTAGTGATAATTTGGGACTTATGCCCCTTTATTCTGGATTCTCACCCATATAAATATTTAAATCTGGAGTTACGCCTTTCTTATTCCAATTTTTTTTGTAATTTCCCGTTTGTAAAAAGTATCAAAATACGAAGATACGTCCTTTTTATTCCAACTTTTCAAAAATGAATTTAAAATTTCGGACTTACGCCCTTTCAACTCCCACATATATAATTACGAGCTTTTGACATTAAAGTTTTTTCAATTAACATTCAACAACTTTTTTCACTTCTTGAACATACGCCCTTCTTCCATTAAAAAATACATTTTTTTGAGTTATGCCCTTTTTCCCCTGTGGGTGATTCCAAACAAGAAATTTTCCTTGACCTTAATTTTAATCTAAAAACTGCATTTTAATGAACGACGAATAGCCCCCGGAAACCGGAAATCCGACAAGATTTCCAGAGTAATTATTCCCGGTGATTTTCAACGATTATTTGCACACCCCGTACTCACGTATATGAGTCCTACAAAGTTTCTATGGGTATTAAGAACTTTGAGAATAACAAGGAAAAAAAATGTTATGTATTTTGCAGTTTTGCACACATCACGAAACCTCGAACAATGTGGAGTTTCCAACATTCGCTAGGACACGTCCACCGGACACCCAGATATCAAAATCCGTTGTTGCGGTACTTTTGAAATTCAACTGGACAAAAGTAAAGTAAACAAAAAAATGGGTGAATTATTGACATGATAAAGCACCCACCCCACGACAATATCTCCCATTCGAGAGACTCAAGACGAAGTTGAAACTTATGAATAATGTCATTGAAAAGCTGTCAAGAAAAAAAATAATGAAATTTGGATGTTTTTGTAACCCCTCCAGCTATAACCTCCGGGGTTACTCCACTCTCAATTAGGGAAATTTCCATGGCACCCAAATCAAATCTTTCTTGAAAACACGTATAAGTTTCAGATTTTTTTCAGATTTCATAAGAAAGTTATTTGAACAAATAAATCAAAAAATTATGAGTTTCGGACGCGCAGCTAGGCGCATGATTCGAATGTCAGTGAGCGTCATGGGAAAGGTATGGGTTGGACCATGCAACTGAGAGAGAGAGAGAAAACACTCGACAGGTTTACCAACTCGAGACGCATTTTAATATTATTTCAATAATTAGAATAACATCCAATAAAAATTATTTGACACCCGTAGGTGATGAGAAAAAAATCAATCTGATGAATAAAATCAATATTCAAAAAATGCTCAAATGCCTACTTAAATAGTTACTTGAAAATTGGAAAATTTCGTGCTCAGCGATTGAATCAGAGCTCGAGAACAATAAGACTCCCCTTTCGTTTCACCCCTCGGTGATCAACAGACCGTCCACATCCTGACAACTACGACTCGTTGATATGCGAGTTGAAAACCATTTTGTTCGTTATGAAATTTGTTATGTCAGCGAGAGCACCTTTACTCGTCTATCCGCAGTACATAAAATTCCCTCCATGCGCAGTCGTCGACTGTAACTTCGTTACGAGAGATTCTCCAGGGATTAATCTCCCTCAAAATTTCCATAACACCCCATTACACAATATATTTCCAATGACATCATGAATGACTCTCAATTTCGTCACACTCTCATCCCAAAAATAAATCAATTCATCGCTAAATCCCCTCCTTCCAGGTCACCTTAATGTACATGAACTCGACACTATTCGAATTCAACAACAAGATGTCAAGTGTAGCTGGCACAATTATCCGATCATTTCGCTCCTCCGGCATATCTGTCACCTACGAGAGATGTTGGGCCGAGCCCTACCTCGTGACACACATGAATAATCCATTTCATCGTCTCGTGGAGACGTCATACCGAGAGACACGAAGTGAGTTGATAATACCACTGACGAAAAATTCTATAAATAAATTTTCTTATCAGCGACAATTGTGCAACATTGCGCATTGCGAGGATAAATTTGGATTTTCGGTCGTGCTGTGTTATGTTTGTACATAACCCGCATGTGTGATAATAAATATCAGTGTATCGAAATGTCCCGCATGGCGGTTGTACACGTACACCGTATGTGTCATTTACATTCACCTCATGACAATTCTACGTGTCTAGTGTTGAATGATCCCCCACTACATAACATTATTGGAGGGCACTCCATCATTTTTGAGTTTAAAAATAGACCGAGTATATTTTTCTTAATCGTCAGGGCTTGATTTATTCCTCGAAATTCATTGTGAATGGAGCAGTTGCATGTGAACTGAAGAATGAAAATAAAAATGTCCTTGAAAAACCTGCAGACATGATTTTTTTAATGAATTTTTTTTGTTGCTGCTTAAATTGTTTTCTATACACTGAGAAAAAAAAATTAATTTTACCAATCAAATTTGTTTCTGACAAGAAGTTACCCGCTATTTTATATGGAAGTAACGGCCATTTATATTGTTTTCGCAGTGTAAGGTAACAATTTTTTTATATTTTTAATAATTATTTAGTTGAATCTCCATGACATGGTTCAACTAGTTCTACTCCATTAAATGGTGTGAGAGCAATTTTAAATTTCGTAACATGTGTAGATGTGGAGCTAAAAGGAAAAACGACATTTTAGCTTGAAAGATTGAATTCTTCGGGACTAATTGAGATCTTTCAAGTTTGGAACGTCATTAAAGAATTAATGTAGAGGGGATTTCGTAGTTTTTAATAATTTCTATTAATTGAAAAATTACGAAGGAGCTCAAGAGTGACCGTTCCACTTGTCTCCTTTGTTTGACACTCTTGACCCTTGAGACCGTTTCATCTCTACAATGATTTCACTCGTTACTCCCGTAAACCTGTTACTGTTTAACCCTTTCGACACTTGAGAACCTTTGACTTTCCTTCGAGCGCATTGACCCTTCTAATCCCTTCGTTCATCCCTCCCGCTTGACCCTCTTCACCCTTAAGAATGTTTAATTTCTATAATCACTTCACTCGTCACTCCTGTTTAATCCTCTTCATCGTTAAGGTCTGATTTGTCTTCAACTTCCATCACCGCTCTGACCCTCTTAATCCCTTCACTCATCCCTCCCATTTGACCCTCAAGGTGGTTCGACCCTTTGAAAACATAATCCTCTCCTGCCTCCACAAAAAATCATAACTCAAAATGAAATTTTTCTGTTTAAAACTTAAACAGTACGGAATAAATTTAACCTCGTAAATTTTTCGGATTCAACTTGAGTCGAGTCCTGGACAGGGTATATTGGATCGTTGGGCAACGATCGAGGGTTCAAGGGGCCAAAAGAGAAGCCGAGAAAAAGGAGATCGTCTTTTACGAGCCAGTCACTCCGTTTTTTTACGACGTTTCACAGACTTCAACGCTAAAACCGTTTTCTCTCTCTTTCTTTCTCCAATTTTTTCTCGTACAATTTTTCTCTCGTTATTCCCGCAAGCATTCTCTTCACAGTTCGTTTTCACTTTTTACGCGTGCGGGAAGGGGGAGTTCCCGAAGAAACTTTTGCTGAAAATAAAATTCATAAAAATGGTCTTTCAGAATGCTCTTTTTTAAGTGATATATAATAGTGGGAATGGAATTGGATGGAGGCCAACAGACGAACTGGAAGTTAAGTCATGGCTGATGTGTCTTTTCTTGGGTATTTTCAGTTTATGTTATACTCGGTAACTATGATGAGCATATGGGACTGCTGATGGCACTTGATGAGAGAAAATTATTGGATAATGGTAATTATTTTAGATATTCTTGAAAAATCGAAGCATTTTATCGTTTGCCCTGCGTCAGAATTTTTGTTAAAAAACAATAACAATTTTTTATTTATTTTTTTTCATTTACAATTTTTGTTTCAAATTTTGAATTTAAAAATGTTTTTTTTTTCAATTTTCAAATTGAAAAAGAGAGTAATCAATTTAAAAAATCTTCTAAATTTGGAATTGTTTTTTAATTTCACAATTTTTTAAATTTGACATTTTTTCAATAAAATTTTGCTCGTCCTTTTGACCCTTCAAGGGCCATGAGGACCAAAAAATCTTCAAGGATCAAACGAGAGAAAAAACTTGACTCGTCACTCTCATTTGACCCTCGTGACTCCTCAAGGGTGCAACGATTTTAAAGGTCAAATGGAAAGATTGTCTGACCCTTGAATAACCAGATTATCTACCTTCACTTCCCCTCCTCCATTTTCTCCCACCGCCCCTTTCGCCCTCCTCACTTTCATTTAACCCTTGAAAAAGTTTGACCCTTCCCCTGTCTCTCCCATTTGACCCTCATGAACGTTCGACCCTCGTGACCCTTGAATGGTCCAACGCTCTTAAAGGTCAAACGGAAAAATTCCAGTCGTCTCTCTCATTTGATCCTCAAGACTGTCTGACCCTTGAATAACCAGATTCCCTACCGCTCCACTTCCCCTCCCCCTCTCCTATTGTCCCCCTTCACCCCTTTCACTCCTCAATAATCCCTCAAAAATTCCAGGTGAATACTGGGTGGTCGGCGTAGATATAGAGCAATACGACGAGCACCAGCCCTCGAAATACCTCCGCGGCCTCCTTCAGGAGCACACAACCCCCTCCCTCCTTCGCGCCCACCGCAGCTACTTCAGTATCGTCGCCTCCCCTCCCAGGATCTCCAAGAATTTCACAAGAATCATAAATGAATACCGAGGAAAGCCTCCATTCAACTTCACAAACCCCCTTGCGACCCTCGGGGGTCTAGTCAGGGTAATTGAAGACCGAGATTCCAGTCTCACTTATTCATTCAATAAATCGTTTTATCCTTCATAATCATCCATATACTCCTCTATTCACATTTTATGTACCTAGGACGAATAAACCGTTAATTCTAACCCCAATCGGTTGGGTTAGAATGCGGTTTTCGGCCCTTGGAACATCAAATATTTTATGTTACACGCCGATAAAAGTATTATATTATCTGACTCATGTGATAAAGTCACATTCGTGAGATAATATTTTTATCGCCTGATGATACAATGTACTATTTCATCACAGTGTCCGTAAAACGTGATTTTTTGAACCGTCGTTTGCAGACAGTGTGATGAAAAATTTACTTCGGCCCTCGGACGAAAAAGCTTTTCTGCCTCGTGTGCTTATAATCCGAATTTTTTTTTTTCGGGCGAGTGTCAACGTTGCAGATCAAAGCAATCTAATATTGAGTACTACACGGGGATAATTCGTACATTATATCACAAGGCCAATAATACTTTTATCAACATGTGATACAGTATTTTATGCCCCCAGGACCGATAAATAATTTTCAGTCCTAGGAATATAAAATTATTTCCCGACAAATTTTCGAGCCGAATGAGAGGATTATAATCACATTCGTTAGAAAATATTTTTATCGGCCTTGTGACATAATGTACTATTACTATTACGTCGTATCACGTGCACTTCTCACTTTTGGAACAAGTAAGATCGTACCGGAGACGGCTTACCTCTACGATGCTGTACATCTCTATGCCAGAGCGTTAGTCAGTGCCTTGAAAGAGGGACGAGACCCCAGGGATGGAAGGAAAATGGTGGAGATGCTACATGGGGTTCACTATCGCAGTGCCATGGGGTAGGTTCTTCATTTATATGATGGTTTATAGGTAATTTCGGGGGTTTTATCGTGTTCTTGGGATTTCATATCGGGGGATTTGCATATTTTGGGGAGAATGGGGCAAGTAGAACGAGAGTAAAAAAGAATGAATGTAGAGGGAGAGTGGGGTAACACGGACCGAGTCTTTACATCGCTCAATTGTTGAATTATCTCGACAATGAGAGGTTAGATATAGGGAAGTTATTTGTAGAGGGTTCCCTCAAAAACGAGAAAGGTACTACTGATAAATGCATAATTAGGAAGAATCGTCCGACTTTCCGAGATTTCAAATTAGAGACGAAGTGATCAGAAGCATTAAACTTTTTTAGGGATCAACTGGGAGATAGGCCGAGGGAGGTCAACAGGGTCAAAGGGGAGAGACTCTCCCGTTCAACTCTCAAGACAAGTTGACCCTCCACCTCTCTCCCATTTAACCCTCAAGGCTGTTTGGCTCTTCATCATTTTTTTAAGTCAAAATGATGAAAAAAAAATTATCTGAATTTTTTTTCACCGAACAAAAATTCACGCACAATACTGCAGATACATGGTATACATGGACGAGAACGGCGATGCAGAGGGAAACTACACGCTCATTGCCCTCGAGGATGATCCCGAGGAAGGTCACGGTCTCTACCCAATAGGACACTTTGTCGGTAAAGAGGAATCGTCCAATTTGCCGGTGAGTATCTCCTCTTTCATACATAAATTTTTCTTACTTACGAGGGAGCAGACGTAAAAGCATCGATTGACCATTTCACTCCGGGGAAATTCTCGTGGATCACTGTCTGCAAGCGATGAGGAGGGAAAGGAAAGAAAAATATTGAGAGAATCCCCGAGCTTGCATACAGACCGGAAATCGATTCACCGCTCATTTACACCGAATTCACAATTTTCGTTCTTATTTTCATTTATTTTATTCTGGACTTGCAGAAGTTACGTCTTACGAGGGACATAACTTGGATCGCTGGCGCTCCACCCGTGGCTGAACCATTTTGCGGATATCATGGGGAAAAATGTTATTGTGAGTTTTGTGGAAATTTTCGCATTGTGAAGATCACTTTATTGGAAGCATTCATCTATACGATTGTGATGGTTGTTTTTGGAACTGCTGATGTGAATAACTCGTTTATGATTCATTGGGAGAGGGAAAAAAACCTGAAAAAGCATTGGAGAATAGAGCAATGCATTGGTAACGGTAGCAAAAAAAAACCTGATGTAGAGGAAAACTCAGATAACTTTTTTTTTCACCTTTATTACTCAAAAAAATGATGATATTTCAAATGTTCTTTAGGGTCAAATAGCGGAGACAAATGGAATGATTATTTTGCTCGTCTCTCCCGCTTAACCCTCTTGATCTCTCTCTCTCTCTCCCTCTCTTTTGACCCTTGAAAACAGTTGATTCGTCTAATCACTCCGTTCATCTCTCCCATTTGACTCAAGGGACAAATGGGAGAGACAAAAGAGTCAAGAATCAGATGTTTGTTAGAGTTAAACAGTCTTGAGGGTCAAACGGAAGAGATAGATAGACGGAGGGTCAAATCTTTTTAAGGGTTGAATGGGAGAGATGAGCAGAGTAATCAAAAGGGTCAAACACTCTTAAGGGTGAAGTGATCACTTCGCTCGTCTCTCCCATTTGATACTCACGAAATCCTAACAGAGCGATATTTTCTACCGTTCTCCAAAGGTCAAATGGGAGAGACAAAAAGGGTCCAGAGGGTCAACCAGGTGATCATGTTCGGGTTGTGATCAAATATTCTTTGAATTCAAACAGTCTTGACGGTGAAACGAGAGAGACGAATAGAATGATTGGAAGGATCTAATGGGAGAGATGACCGAAGCAATCACTTCCTTCGTCCCTCCCATTTGACCCTCAACACATTAGACTCTTAACCACTTAGCCCCCAGCACTAAATACATACTTGATATTCCATCCCAACAGAATAAAAAATAAAATAGCATTCACTCGTCCAGATTCACAAAACATTAATAAAGTTTCAGCGATTGCAAAATAGAGAACACTCCCTATTTTTTAATCGCCGGATAAAATTCCCCCACTTAAGATAATGAATGAAACTTTTTCAACTTCGCTTGACTGCGGACCATTTTAATGAATTGCAGCGCACACAGGGGAGATTGTCGGGGGAATTGCTGGTGGAATACTCCTAATTCTCATAGCAATTATCCTGATACTGTACAGAAACTGGAGGTACGAACAGGAGTTGGATTCACTACTTTGGAAGGTCAATTACAAGGATATACAGATCAGGGAGACCAAGGAGGAGGGCGGGACTGTTGAACCCACCCACAAGCCTAATACCAAGGTGTCAAATCATCTCATTAACATTAAGGGGAGGTTGGAGGTTCACCTCGGGGCAAAAACTTTACAACTACAAATTTTTTTCCTAAGGTGAACCTCCCCTTAACTCCCCCAAAAACCCATTAAATTTCCAACATTTAAATAAAGTAAATTATCTTCAATTGTCGATAACTCGAGAACTGGAAAGTAAAATTTCTCGTCCAAATCGCATCGCTTGATCACGAGATATTGAAGATTGAAGATGGACAACTCTTCCTTGCTTCAAAAGTAAAATTTAAAAAACGATCATTTGATCATGCAAATAAAATAAAATTAATTATATATAATCTTTTTTCTGGTTTAGCCAGTGGTCAGAACCAGTCAAGTATCACTAAGTTCAAATCCCGATGCTGATTTTCGATATTCAATGATCTACACACAGATTGGATTCTATCGGGGTCGAATGTTTGCTATAAAAAAAGTCAGAAAAAAATCTATCGAGATCACAAGAGAAATGAAGAAGGAGTTAAAAATGGTAAATATGGATTTTAAATAAATAATTTTTCACTATAAAAAAAAGTCAAAAGCTCGTTTGGACTTGGTTTAAAACTTCCTTCCTGCACTTCAAGAGAAATATCGAGATCAATAAAATAAATTTGATTCGAATGTCACCATTCCAGATGAGGGATTTACGACACGATAACCTGAACGCCTTCATCGGTGCCTGCACAGATCCCCCGAACATCTGCATCATCGCCGAATACTGCGCGAGGGGAAGCCTAAAAGACATCATCGAAAATGACGACATGAAGTTAGATAACATGTTCATGGCGTCCTTAGTCGGTGATATCATCAGAGTAATCATTGTCCACTGACTTTTCTCATCTAAAACTCAGTGACCCCGGGGGTAAAACGGTTTAAGGGGGTTTATGTGTGAAAAGTCAAAGTAATGAAACACGTGAGCAGTAGAAATTTTTTGAAAAAAAAAAATCCAAATCAGAAATGTCAAATGAATGGTGGTAGGGCACAGTCAGATATCTATGAGAAAAATATTTCTAAATCGAGCAAAGATCTAAGTCGACCTTAATCGTTTTACCGCTTCGCTACGAAACTGATGACAATCACATCAATAAATTGGAATAACTTCCAGGGGATGATGTTCCTGCACGAATCGGTGATAAGGTACCACGGAAATCTCACTACATCTAACTGCCTAGTCGACTCAAGATGGGTTGTCAAAATCGCTGATTTTGGATTACGTGAATTCAAGAGGGACGCTGATTGCGAGCCCCAGGATGTCATGAAGAAATACCAAAGTAAGGGGAAACAGTGTTTGAAGAGGAAAAAACTAATGTAGATCGAAATTCACATAAATTTAATTATTTTCCCCATCTTTTTTTTTTCAATGACAAAGGGTCATAAAGGTCAAAGTTGATTCTTGAACGTTTCATCCTTCGAGTTATTCCAATCGTCCTTCCTGTTTGACCCCCTTGACCCTTGAGAACGTTTAATTTTTCTAATCACTTTACTAGTCCCTCCCATTTGACCCTCTTGACCCTCCTCTTACACAAAAAATAACAAAAAGGGTCAAACTCTTTCTAATTATTCCAGACATCCTTCCCGTTTAACGCCCTGGATCCTTGACAATGTTTGATTTTTCTAATCACTTTACTTATCCCTCCCGTTTGACCCTCTTAACCCTTCTCACTGAAAAAATTATTGAATTAGTCTCAAACGATCTTCCGGAACGAATGGTCTTGAATGGACCCTTGAGTTCTTTAGAGTCAAATTCCATTCTGAATATAATTTTACCCTGAAGAGGGTCAAACGGAAGGGATCCTTTTGATCAATTCCCTTCACCTTGGTTTGACCCTCTTGATCCTTAGGAAGGTTTCAACCTTCTTCTCAATCCGCCCATCCTTCCCATTTGACCCTCAAACAATGAAATCCCCTAAAATTGCACTTTTCCCCCGCTCCAATCTCCCAAAAATCTATAATTAAATTAAAAAGATAAATTACCGACAGGTCTGCTGTACCGAGCGCCGGAGCTTCTCCGTTCCCGTACATCTCCCCCGCTAACCCGAGACTACCAGAAAGGGGATATCTACTCCTTCTCGATAGTTCTCTACGAGCTCCACGGTCGGCAAGGTCCCTTCGGTCCGACCTCCTCGACCCCAGCGCACCTGCTCTCCCAGCTCTGCAATCCCGTGCCCCCCAGCCTCCCCCTGCGACCATCCCTGGAGCACCTGGAGAACTGCTTCGACTTTGTGCGTGACTGCCTTGAGGAGTGTTGGTCAGAAGATCCAGAGCTTCGTCCCGACTTCAAAGCCATCAGAAACAAGCTGCGACCACTTCGAAAAGGCATGAAGCCCAACATTTTCGACAACATGATGGCGATGATGGAGAAGTACGCCAACAATCTGGAGGCACTGGTCGACGAGAGGACAGATCAGCTGACTGAGGAGAAGAAGAAGACGGACGCGCTCCTGTACGAAATGCTGCCAAAATACGTGGCTGAACAGCTGAAGAAGGGCCACAAGGTCCAGGCGGAGGGTTTCGATTGCGTCACGATATACTTCTCGGACATCGTGGGCTTCACCCAGATGTCGGCTGAGAGCACACCTCTGGAGGTCGTTGACTTTCTCAACGATCTCTACACGTGTTTCGACGCAACGATCGAAAACTACGATGTCTACAAGGTGGAGACCATTGGTGACGCCTACATGGTTGTCAGTGGTCTTCCGATAAGAAACGGTATCCAACACGCTGGGGAAATTGCCAGCATGTCTCTCTGCCTTCTGGACAAGATCAAGGAGTTCAGTATTAGACATCGACCTTTTGACAAGCTTCAGCTGAGAATTGGCATCCACTCTGGGCCTGTTTGCGCCGGGGTGGTGGGCCTGAAAATGCCGAGGTACTGCCTCTTCGGGGATACAGTTAATACAGCTAGTCGGATGGAGTCAACGGGACAGCCTCTGAGGATTCATTGCAGCAAGGAGACGAAACTGCTGCTCGATAGGATTGGGGGGTTTCATCTGGAGGAGCGGGGGTTGATAGAGATGAAAGGAAAAGGGGAGCGGGTGACGTATTGGCTGTATGGGGAAGAGCCTGGGAGGAAGGAGGGAAAGAGACAGCAGTTGGATCCAATCCTGGTGCCTAAAAGTTCGCTGAAGAATAAAGCGATCAGGATGAGCTTCCTCAGGTGTTCAAGTGAATCACCGAAAAGGTTGAGATTCGCCAGTTCTGATCAGTTGGATCAGAGCAAAGGGAAGACTGTGATTTTTGGCGAGTGGAGTCCTTGTAAAGGGTGCATGGAGGGCTCACGGTCCTCCAGCAGCTCCTGTCCTTGTGTGGAAAAACTAGAATTCGGGGAGAATTGCTTTAATGGAGTCTGTAAGTCCGTTCCGGGGAGTCCTAGGTATATGGTCAAGGGTGTCGGGAGGTTCTGTCAAGTTTTGGCGGGAGAAGCTACCCCTCTGATCTAAAATGGCCTAAGTCTAGTATTGCAATAAGTATTAAAATCATGACAATGTACTTAATTCAGAGTGATTGCCCAGTGTAAAAATGAATCGATTTCAAAAATTATTCTGAGGCGATGGGGTGCGACAATCAAGGAAGGCTCGTGTTTTGTGGAGCAATCGTTTTTTCTAGTCATTATCCTAAATAAATGCAACATAATTTTCATTACGATATGACGTAAGATAAACTATTTCAATTATCCTCTTACGTTCAAGTGAAAACATTCAGATAAGAATTTCACTTGTTCTCATAAATGTTTCTTAACACATCCATCAATAATTAATTACCAGTATTAAGAAAAACGATAAAAGATAGATAGATTGATGTCAAGATCAAGGTCCCCAACGGTTGAACGGAATATCAATGTACTTATCGCTTAATCGTTATTAATTATCGAATTAGATAGACATCTTGAGTGTGTGTCAAGTGATTGGAATCAATCGAGTGTTTTAAAAAAATCCACTCAACATTGTTCCTCAGTATCAACTCTACATTCCTCAATAATAAAAACAAACTCCGAGAATTGTACACATTTTCATTGAATAAATTGCGATGAGTGTCAGTATGCGAAAAATAATGATTTTTCATTTTTTACATTCAAACGAACGAAATATGAGTGTCTCTCACGGCCCAGTGTCTCGTGACGGCAATTTGTCATTCCGGAAGTTGTCAGTGAACGACGTCCGGGATTAGTTCTCCTCGCGAGAACAATAAACGGGGACAAATACTTACGACGATCTATTAAATCCCCTTTTTTTGTCATCATTGAATTGTTTTGATGGGAAAATGGTGGTGAATAACAAGTTATGATGGAAGTGTTTTGAAATTTTTTTTGTCATTTCACGAGTGTTCGGTGGTGTTTTCATACCGAAGGGGCAGCCTAAATAGGAAAAATTTGGAGGGCGTGGAATGGGGGCAAAATGGAGTAGTAGTTGAAAAACTAATGTAGAGCGAAATTTTCATCATTTTTTCTTTCATCTCTGTTAGTCAAAAATTGATGAAAGGTTAAACGGGAGCGATAGGTAGAGGGTCAAATGGTCTCAAAGGGTCAAACGGAAGGGCCATATAAAGCGTTGAGTAATCTTGAGGATTAAGCGGGAGAGACAGTCGAGGGTTAAACATTCTTAAGGACCAAACGGGAGAGACAGGCTGAGAGGGTTGCATGTTCTTAAGGGTCAAAAAAGTTTGAAGGCCAATCGGGAGAGATGAACTCAGTAATCAAAAGCGTCAAAAGTTCCTATGGCCCAAACAGGAGAGACGAGTGGATTATTCCCGTCATCTCCCTTATTTGACCCTCAACACTTTTTGACACTGAAACAACAACATTCTCTCCCAATCGACTCCACACCATTCTCCCCTACATAAAAAATACTGCACATCTCCAGAGAATGCCGTATTACAATGAATACAAAGTAAAAAAAAAAGTCGTATGGTAACTGGCGTGCCGTCTTATTCACGGTGAAGTGGTTGTCGGCCAACTTAGCCTCGACAACCATCATTCAATCTAGGGAGTACGGTTGGTTACAATTGAAAGAGTCAGTCCCGATTCACGCAGCGAAATCATTTGATATTTGACGTCAGGCCGACGATTATCGTGTAACAAGTCATGCTGAAAAACCACTGTCTTTGTCTCCTACGACGGGATAAAATGAGATCCGATGGAGTGGGTGAGACACACTCCAGCCACATTTGTACAGGTTGACAATTTCCCTCATCACCCCCTTCCCCTTACCAACTAATCCAGTATTTAATTTAGCATGCAGTCGGTTTATATCGCATTAGCTTGGAATTCTCGATGTTTTATCAAAATTTTCGAGGATATTTTTGGAACAATTCAACACGGAGAATGTTGTCTCGTTAAATGTAAATCGTGAGGATCACGAGGGTCAGATTAAACGGACTCTGACTTTTTAGTAAAAAAATGAAAATACAAAATTAAACAAAAAAACTCAAAATAAAAAAATATATCTCAATTTTCAAAAAATGTGGGGCAAAATGGCGTGTTTTTTCTCAGTTCTGTTGACTTTATTTAGAGTTACAGATTAGACTGAAAATAGATATCATGAGAAAACATTTCCATTGACAACAGACCCACTTGAAAATTTTTTTTTCTCCATTAAAATCACCAGACGGATTTCAATCGAATTATCTTCTGCCTCCACCTGTGACACAAATGCGAATTTGTTTTCGTTGACAATACGCAATGATTTTACATAACATTTTTTATTCAGTTTATTTATAGAAATCATCAGCACCGAAGTATAAATAAATTATTCGAGTATTATCATTTGTTTTCGCAATTCTCAATTTTGTCGATTGATTTTATGAAATTTTTGTACATCCATTAGCTTGCAAAGTGTAACGAGTCACGAATCATGTTGACACTGCGCCCGAGTCTGTCTGATAAGATAAGTTCAGCACTGTACCATCAACGTCAACGGATTTAAATGAGAGGGAAAATATTAAAGTGTGAAAACTCTCGTGGGAGTTTATTTCGCGTGCCTAGACAATTTTCTTTTTCAACTCAATCAAGTTTAATTAAATAAATTACGGTGTCATCGAGTGAAAATTGCTCGTCATCTGGTGATTAATTTCCGAAATTTTTCGAGAATATTCACATTTCTGGGATTTTTCCGTGCCTGTGTGAGTGGTGATTTGTAATTTCGTTGACTCTCATTTCATTATGAATACAATAGATTGTAAATTGAATATAAATTACGAATAAAATTGAGTGGAAAAGTTAGACGGATTGTCGACTTATCGCTTCACACTAACACAATTCCCCCTTTGGTTTAATACTGAGTGGTGATAATGACCGGAAAAAAATAACAACCGAGACAATTAAATTATTTTTCCTTTCATCACACTGTTTAAATCGATTTACTGCCTGAGTCTTGTGAGATAAATGAATATTTATAGGGGTGAAAATTTTTTAATCCAATTTTTTTTTTTCATCCAACATTCGTCGGTTTCACTCGGAAGGTTAATAAAGGGTAATCAAAGTCGATGAAAATACCTGTTTTGCCCGATTATCATGACATCCTCCAGCAATTAAGATTATTTCATGATATTGATAGGCAAAATCTTAGATTTTCTGACGTGAAAAATCTTCTCCCGTCTGTATCTCCATAAATATACCATATTGCAATTACAAAATATCATCACACAAAATGTTCCTCTCGAAAAAAATACAATTATTCACCATAAACTTATTTTCTATCTTCAATTGTTTTCAAGATATTCACAACCGAAATCTCCCCCGAGAATGTTTCCCAAATTTCGAACTCTGAATCGTCTGCGCGCGATCTACAGCACGTAGGCAAAATATTCTTTATTGAATTGTTCTCAATTCAAAAGTTCAAAAAGTGTCAATCAAAGTCGATGAAAAAAAGACCTATTTCATCATCATATAATCAAATTCTGGAACAATAAACATTTGGTCATAGAATTAACGAACAAAATCTTCGATTTTCCGACTTGAAAAAAATTTTCCCGTCTGTACCTCCGTAAATATTACAATTATAAAAAAAATGTTTAGACACCAAATTTTCCTCTCGAAAAAACCTGAAATTTTCCTTCTGATTCTTTTTCTCGACCTTCAACCGTTGACAAGATATTCACATCCGAAATCTCCCTCGAGAATCGATCCCAAACTTCGAACACTGAATCGTCTGCGCGCGATCTACAGCGCCGAGTGCCCCCGACACCGCCCGAATTTCCCAACTACTGCCCCCTGTGCCCAACCAACCGTACTAACCGCCCCACAGAATCATGTGTTCCCTCAGTAACGTCGCGGCACTCGTCTTGAGCTCATCCGCACGAATCTAAATCCACACGTTCCGATAATTTCGTGTATTTCACGTTGGGAAAAAAATTGCCGAAAAAATTCCTCGAGTCTCTCTCCACACCTCTCCCGGCCCCGACGAGACCTTGAGACGTCGGAAGTGTCAGATAAAAAAAAAAGCCCACGAGACTCGAGCAAGTCCCCAAAAATCTAGAACATTCAACATTTAAAAACTAAAAAAAATCGTGATTTATCGAATTTTTTCAAAGTGATCAAGTGCAATTCGAATCGCTTCGGCTGCATTGAGCCCTCGGTGGCGGGAAAAATTCGAACAAAAAAAGGGATTTATGTGTACACGATGGTCGAATCGCTGAGTGAGAGGGAGATGAGGATAATAAAAGTCAAATAGAGAGTAAAGTGCGTCGTCGATCGTTCGACTACGGGGCGTCCGTGTCTCTCTGTGTCTGTGTCTTTTTTTTTTTACTCAAAGAACGAAAAAAATTTGAGCATTCATTCCCGCAACTGTGCACAGCTTTAACAAGATAAAAATAAAAATAAAAAAAATCCCCGGTTTCTATTAAATTAACTGACAAATCTTCGATTAAAAATTTTAGTTTGAAAAATTTTTTTTTGTTTGTGATTTTTTTGTGAAGTTTCATTCTGAGTGATTATGACCAAGGATAATTGAATGATCTTGATACACTTGGGATTACCATGCTAGCTGTGGCCACGAGTTTCAGGTAAATATTAATTTATTATGATTTGATAATGGAATTTCTACACGACCAGACTGATGACGAACCATCGAAAAATGATAGTGTGATTTTTTCTCATACTACAATTTTGAGGCTCGACAAGATGAAGACTTGATGAAAAATAATTCAGTAGCGACGCGGTATAACGATTCAAGCCGACTTGGCTCAGCTAGGTCTTTGAGGAATATCTCACAGTTCTAATTGCTTATGACTACTAGTTATACATTTATTTTATAATCATTTAGGAAATTCGTGAGAGTCTCTATACATTTCAGTAGCAAAGTGGTCAAACAGTTCAAGTCGATTTTGGCTGTTGGCCAGTCTTCAATGAATATCTCGAAATCTAAGGGAGATAGCAAAAATTTTCTCATAATCTTTTTTGAAAACATGAAAAAAAAATCGTCTGACTGTCCAAAAAATACACATTCTATTTCTTTGTATTTCACCGATCATCCGCTAACGGAATTGCCCAGGATTTTTTCAATCCCACCGGATGATATTTATTGTTGAGGTTTCGTTGTTGGAAAGAATAATCTCAGCGAAAATAAACTGGGAAAATTTTCGTGGCTGAGTCATGGGTATTATTAGTCTGTGACTTGCATACGAGTGTTTTTTCACTCGTTGTTGTGATTGTTACTGGGGCTTTGGTAATTGATTGGACATTGTTGATCCAGTGGTATTTGTTGAGGGGGAAGAGGGAGAATTTTAATTGGCAGGAGAATTGTTTTTGTTTGAGGGAGATACATGTCACGATATCGACATTCGTGACAATGGAGTATGTATGAAGAATTCGGTGATTCATGAGGTGAATTTACATGTGGCTATTTTTGAGTTTTGAGTAATGAGGTGAGGTGATTATAAGGAATTGTTCGTTTGTTGTCTTAAGCCGCAGATATGTCTGAATTATTCGAATGGAAAGTGACATTTCTTGATGGGTTTCCATGCTTTGAAGATTGAGATTATATCGAGGTGAACGATTCATTAGGTAAATGATGTAATTTTCTTTGGGATTTCTACCTTGAAGTTATCGTTATCGGGGTAATTCAAGTTTTAAGGGGAGTGTCGCATTGTCTAGACATTTTAAATGAATATTGGATATTTTTAGAGTTTTAGAGGTGAATGTCAAGAGACATTTTTGTGGAGAATCCAATTTTCTGAGGGCTAAAATGTTTGAGGGCTATTTTTTTCTGTAGCCTCTCGTTATTGAGATAATTGAGTATTTTAGATGAACACTTAATTTTCAGAACCATAAGTTGGGCTTTTACATTTTTGTTGAGGGCAATGATGTCGGGCGTGAATAGTTTTAGAGACGAATGTCAAGAGACTTTTGGAGAACCGAATTTTCTACAAAAAGTATCTGACATTTTTTCATAGAATCACTCATCATCGAGTGAAATAATAATAAAATGTTTAAAGTGGCTGTAGTGGTCACGCGAGGAGTGTGTGGCTCCGGCGGTCATCCCAGCTAAGCAGCGTTCAGTCTGCCCAGTACTTGGATGGGTGTCCGCTTAGGCACACCTAACCGCGTGGGACTACAGTCGCTAGGCACGAATGTAGAGAACCACTGTGCCCATTGAGTCAGTGTGACCAATGGACACAGTGGAATCCCCCCCCCCACTCATCACCGATCTAATCCAATATTTACCGAGATATTAAAACCCAAGTCGTTACTCCATCATGTGTCACTCCTCCAATAATGGATCGTTATCACAAAAATTGAAACGAGGAATACATTCCACATCTGGCGACTGTCCCATTTTCAATACCCACCAAGAACCAACACAACTCCACATAAACCATTTTTCAACCCCTCGACATGCCTAAGAATAAAACCCCGGTTTGTGAACCGAGATGTGACTCTGGTAATGCACGTGGCCATTTCTCACATTCACATCAAATAATACTCACATAACATCAGTAGTAATGTCGGTTTGAAGGAGAAGAAGGGGAGAGATCGGTCGGCATGAGTTGGCGGGTAAAGGGCCACATTCGCATGTTCATTAAGCGCACACGTGACAGGGCTTTGTATTCAACAAGGATTTTAAAGTCTATTAAACCTTTTTTTGCCTCCGAGAAAAATGGAAAAAAAAGCTCGTCATTTTTTGGTGATGAAGTTACATTCAAGGATCTCGGGTGTGTCCTTGATGGAAATAGATTTTTTTTTGAGACCATTCAATCCATGACATGAAACGAAGAATTTAATTTAATGAAAGTAATCCGAGTTTTTTTAATGGATTTGGGTTTTCTGTGAGATTCTTGCCTCTTAAAATCGCGATTATCATCAGGAATTTAATGGTAGCAAAATAATTTAATAGAAGCAAAAAAAAACTAATGCCGAGCAAAATTCGGATGACTTTTTTGTCATCTCTATTACTAAAAAAATTGATCAAGTGTCAGATATTGTTTAGGGTTGAACGGTCAAACGAACGAGACTGGTGAAGGAACAAATTTTCTTAGGGGTTAAACGGGAGGGACGAGTGGAGTGATCAAAAGGGTCGAACGTACATCGCTGGTCTCTCCCGTTTGGCCCTCTTGACCCTCCGCCTGTCGCTTCCATTTGACCCTCAAAACTGTTTGATTTTCCTAATGACTTCATTCGTCCCGTTTTCATTCGACCCTTAAACTACAAAATTCGTTACAGTTCCATTTTGGCCCATCCTCCTATCAATATTCGGGTTAAAAACCTCAAAAGAATTTTATTTACGTGTAAATAAAAATTTTTTTCCTCAGACCTCTCTACAAATCACTCGAGAGAAAAAAAATGTCGATATTCAACAGTTCGACATGTGAAAGTGGTGATTTAAGTGGTCTTTTATCACTGGGATCAGTGTGATGTCGATAGGTATCGATTCGTGTGTCAAGTGTCTCCCGAGATTACAAGAAAGCAAGATAAACAGACCACAAATTCCATTTTCTACGAAAAAAATTGAAACAGAGTGAAAATGAGGAATTTGAAGGAAAACAAATCTAAAGTCTAAACGAGTGAATAACAGTTTGTACTGTACGTGTAACTGCGCCGAAGACTAATCTATTTTCGGCGCGAGTCGAAATCTTCTCCAAAGGTATCAAACACAGTTGAGAATGAAAACAAGTGTCTATCTTAATGCCCGATGTGCGAATGAGGAGAGAAAACATGGATATTCAGGTTTGAAGTGGTAAAATGTAGCAGAACGAGTTGGTTGATTGTTGGTAGTTCGTTAAGAGTGGAATTATCGCGGCTGTGAATGGTTTTGTGGCCCTCAAGACTTTTTGACCCTCAAAAATTTCGCCGCTCTAAAAATTTGGATTCTGAGGAAACAGTGGTTTTACATTTCCTAATTGTTGAATTACCTCGATAATGAGAGGTTTGACAAAAAAATGTGATAACACATTTTTTGTAGAGAATTTCCCCAGCCGCGAAAAATGTCGTATGCATTTTTCTGCCAGAATCACTCGTTTTCCAGACAAATTCGTCATTAGGGAGAATCAAAATTTCTTAAGGCTCACATGGGAGAGACAGGCGGAGACGAGCCAAGTGACGACTCCACTCGTCTCTCTCATTTGACCCTCAAGACGGTTTGACAGCCAACATTGCCCCGACGTTAGAATTTTTTACCTTTCCCTGAATATTGGGTTAAAAATGAATTTTTTTCAACGACAGATAAAGCCAGCAATTTCATCATCGAGCTCTCTCAAAATGATATTGGAAATAATATTTTAAATCACAATTGGATTAGTTTAAACAATCATTTTTACAGTTATCGGACATGGTCTAAAAATAGCATATTCGAACTGCTGACTGACGCCAAAATTAGTTATCCTGGCCCAAAAAATTAGAAATTTTGAATTTGACTAATACAATCCAGAAATAAGAGTTCACTCTCCCCCAGTCTCCCATATGCCAAAACTCCCAGCAACCACCGAAAACCCCCCAAAAAGAAAGTTCCCAAAAAAAGAAAAAAAAAATTTGTTCCGAAACCGGTATGGATCATCGATCTACGGGCCCCGAGAGAGTTGGCAGGATCGTGGGTTCGCACGCTCCGGTGGTCGCGCGAAAATGAATGTAACACTCGGACGCGCGTGCACTCGGCTAAAAAAAAACACCAAGACCAAGAAAGAGAGAGGGAGAGAGAGAGGAGAGAGAGATAAACAGGGAGTCCCACGAGCCGGTGAAAAAGATATTTGTGTTTCGTTTTAAAACCTTTTTCATTCCTTTTTCTTTTAAATCACTGGGGCTCATTTTCATTGACGGATGAGTGTTTTGGTGCTTCCGCAGTCCCTTCCACGTTTTAGGAGCATTCAAGGGGGGGAGTGAGGGGTGGGCTGGAGGGGAACAGTGTGATGCCTGTACTCGCACGCGATCCTCGGCTTATAATGCTCGTATGTTTTATTTTCTCCCGTTCTTAGCCTCTCTTTGATACTTTTATTTGGTTTGTTTTGTTATTTTTTTTTAATTCTCTCACTGCATGCGCTTTCGGCACGTCCTTTAATCGCCAGTGGGCGCCTTCATCCTTTCATGCACGTGACTGCGAAATTAGAAGGCGGGGTATTTACATTAGAATGAAATAAAAATAATTTGGGAATGAATGGATGGGGGGAAAAAAATTGGCAGTGTCTATTCACACGTTCCACGGTAACTTTGACCGTGGATTCAAGGTAGTTTCTACCGTGGATATATGGAAGATCGTGGACCCTCAACTTTTACTTCTCAAATTAAATCTATACAATAAACTAGACACATCGAATCAATTGATAAGTGATATGGAGATAGTAGATTAGTAAACAATTTTCTCGAATACGAATATCAGTATGGATTAACGCAAATAAAAGATGAAATGAATAGTTTTTTTGCATTTTATGTGAACGTTTTCTTAACGATATTCATATTTGTCTAATGGGGTCCGAGTGCAGGAGTGGGTACCGAAATATAGTGAAAATGATTTTAAGGGTGATCTCCCAACCAGGGGAGACTCCTACCAGAGTTAGCACAACTCTGATTTTCAACTCTGAAACCAGAGTTGTGACAACATTGTCCAGTGGGGTCTAGGAGTCTCCCCTGGTTCAAAACCATCTTTAGAGGCATCAGCACGCCATTTCTCGACCACCTATTTCTCTGAACTGCCAGAGTTGAAAACCAAAGTTCATAGCAGAGATGTCAGACAAGATGTGAGTGAGAATCTACCGTGAATCCACGGTAAAATTTACCGTGGAGCGTGCGAATAGACACTGCCAAAAAAAATTGTAGGGCTGAGGGGAAAAAGTTGTTTGGAACAGATATCCTAATCACTGGACAATACCCGGAATTTTTTGGTCATGGAATAGGTGTTCTGAGGTGTTGCTATGGTTTATCGGTGTGCTTTTATTTTTTTAGTGATGGTTTTTTCGGTTTTATGACGACAGAGATGAAAACAGGATGATTCAATTTTGTTCTATCATGAGTTTTTGATGAATATCTTCGAATTGACGGAAGATAGTGGAATTCTTGATGAAAGTATTCTTGTAGAGAATTTCAAGAGCTACAAAAAAGGTTTCCATGAATATGTCGCTATCTCCATTGGATTTTGAGATATTCATCAAAAACTGAAGGCAAAATCGTTTTTTTTGTCGTTTTGTCACTCAATTTCTGATTTTTTTTTTATGAACTTCCTTGGAATTTATTGCAACAACTGTCAGAGATAGAGAAAAATGTTCAGAAGACAAAATATTCAACATGAAAAGACGAACATTTTTCATCCCCACAATGTTTCTCCATCTGCAATTGTTATCGAGATACTACAAATTAAAAAAATCTGCTAAAGAAAATCAACCATTTTCATCCAAAAACATCACTCCAAATTCGTCAACCCAATATTGTTGTTTTTGTTCCAGGTGGCCGCAGTCAAACGCTCATTCAGATGCACCCAAGTACTGTCCCCAATATGACAGTAAAATAGAAGTGAAAATACAAGCATCTTCCCATCGATGCCAATTTGCCATGTTTAGGTAATTCCCGATTGATTTCGCCATTCAATTACTCCCTATCGCGTCATAAATTTAAAAAAAAAATCTCTTCATCCATAATTCAGGGATTTTTGAGTGGAAATGCAGACACTCTTGCTTAATTATTTCGTACTTATCATATTCAAGTGTCCGTCGCGAGAAATTTCGATGAAAAAAAAATTCAACTCAGACGTCCAACAGCCATCTAAATTTAAACATTTGACATTTACCTTTTTTTTATTGAACTTTATCACCCTCTAACCACAAATTTAAACGTTAAATTATGACGATAGAGAGGCTCCGATGCAACGTTAATAATGTTAAACTAGGTAGCCCATGTGCCGGGATCGTGCACTTGCCCCACAGAATAAATTAAAAATAAATAAAAGTGACGAGAGTAAATAAACAAAAAAGGAAAATCGTAAAAATTGCGGTATGGAGGATCGCGGCGGATATTATAAACACTCCTTATCGCACTCGTACTATTTTAACGGCGTTATCTCAGTTCACATCCGCCGTGAGACCGCAAAACACATGAGCGGAAATTCTCTTACATTTACTATTTCTCAAATATTCTCTATTTATTTATTTATTTTTTACCCACTAATTGCACTCTATATTTCCTCCTTTCATCAATTATCGCGGGATATCGATTAATAAAACTAATCAATTTCTCGAATTGAATCATCATATTAACGAGAATTAAATTGAAAACATTATTTTCACGCAAAAAAATATAAAACGTTGATGAGATGAGGGGAAAAATTTTTTTTTCTTAAATTCAAACAGTCCCATCCAAATGAAAATCCAAATGAAATGACGTATGACGATGAAACCAAAACCACAAACAACTGCAGGTGTACAACCACAGCCTCTCCACCTTTCCCTCCACTTAGTGATAAATAAATACCGTCATCAGTCTGACAATCCATGACTAATTCTCAGAGTCACTCAGAACGAACTCAAAGATTCATGGAGTACATTGTTTTCGTTGAGAACGAAAAAAATTCCAAGTCAGTAGTGTCTCGTGAGGATGTTTAGCACAGTTGTAACGTTTGTTTAACCGAAGTCGTGTCAAAAACGGGCGTAACATTTGCCCAAAAAATTATCGCATTTTTTTTCCCTGTATCAACTGGAAGATAACTCTGAAGAGGTTCAAGCCATTTTCCCATCGAATTCAATCGCCTCCAACTCTCTATTTGCTCAAAAATCTCGATAACCATTGGACATACGACCAAATGCGTCTCAACCTTTTTTCTAGCCCTCGAAAAAACGCAAATTTTGTTCCCCGAGCATTTTTCAACATCTCGAGGCGTTAAAGAGTTACAGAGCTTTGAATGAACCCTGCGGAGCCATCCAATCAAAACAAAATTAAGAGAGATATTTTTTGAATCGTTAATTACCGTCTCAAGTGCCACTCGGGGTAATGGGTTACACTCAGTCTCCCCTCAAGGTCGAAAATCCCCCCCCCCCCCTCCACCCGATACTCAAGCCTGAGAAATAGGATCGTCGCAATTTAACTTGGCAAATAAGGGCGTGACCACGAAAGAACCGCTTATGCACACGCCCCGGTCGTCTTAATTACCGATCTAATTGCGACACATGAGAGACCTCTAATGCTCACTGACTTCTTTACCCTGACACTTGCCCACACCACACCCAACAAAAAATAACATTTTTTTAAAATTGAGTAGTCACGATCAATAACCCAGAAACACAAGAAGTCATTAACTTGATAAATCGTTCAGATAAAAATTTGAAATTCGCGCCATTCGAAATATCGGGAAATTCTAGCCGAAATTAATTTGAAAAAAACAATCCATTTTGCCCCATTATTTCCTGACATATCGCAAAAACTAACATTCGGAAATGAATGGTTTTTTGTCTGCATGTAGAGAACAACTGGGGCAAAATGGGCCATTTTTTAAAACCCCGTGAAGTTTCACGCGCTGTCTCCATCCCATCCCCATAAAAAAAATTGAAATTTTGTTTTTGAAAAAAAAAATTAATTTGAGATTATGTTAATTAACTTATTAATATTACTTTATATTAGGTGAGCGGGGAGGTAGGCGCTGACCGGTGGCGGCGGCGGCCATGCGCCCCGGCCCGCCATCACCGAGCCGTCGCAGGCCTGCCCGTCGCCAGCAGCACCAGCATCCGTACAACATAACAAGTAATCGTCATCATCACCATCGGATTCTAGGCGATATTGGTAGCATTAACACGTGGGCGATCTTATTTCTACTGCTACTCGTGTCGGGTCCCTGTCTCGCACTTATTGAGACATCATACAATCAGTTGGATCATTTGGAATCAAGAAAAATTGATCAACAAGGAACAAGTAAATCATCGGTATTGGAACGTGCCAATAGGAAGCCGAGAAATTTGACTATTGGATATTTGACAGCTATCAAAGGTGGTCTCAAGGACAGACAGGGACTCGCTATATCTGGGGCTATATCGATGGCGCTTGATGAGGTTTGTTTCACTTTTCTTTGATTTTTTTTGTACAGAAAATGATACGACAAAGTACTGTATGTTATTAACCAACTAATGAATTCAATTCTTTCCCCAGTTCCTTATTTTTCTGTACTTGCTAGTACTTTTCGGTAGAAAAAAAAAACATTACAATCCCCTCACAACACATCAGGAAAAAACTTCTTCCCCCATCGTTCAAATATCCACAAAATCATGACCATAAAATTGTGTAAAACTATGCACACATAGTAATTCCTACGTACTTTCCCGTCGACTCACCCGTTACGTCCGGCTTCGTTGAACAGATATCACTACCGGTAGGTTATTATGCAAATTTTGTAAATTCCAACGGACAATGCATTAGCAACAAAACAAAATCGAATGAGGAAATAAAAATAGAAGAGATATCGTATTTCTTAACCCGGGATCTTTAGTTCACTTTTCCTTATACTCCTTTGGCGGTAGAATAGAACGAGAGGATATCCTATTGGCCTTGCTTCCCCTTTTCAATTTAAACGTTTTTTTTTTCAATCTTTTTTTGTTCAACAAGTTTTTTTCCCTTCCTTTTGGTTTTTTACTCGCTTCTTTTGTGTTTTACCTCCAATGGGGTTTATATACACACAAACAACGGTCTTTGGCGGCACGAGCGACTCCACCACTGGGTTGTTACGTTCTCACACGATGGTAATTTACATTTCGCGGCTTTCTGACTCCTCTCGTGCCCTCAAACTCCCGGAGAAAATATTTTTAAGACTTTTATTTATTTATTTTTTTCTCCCGCCAAATTGAATTTTTTTTTTCATCTTTGTTGAGCTAAAATTTTCATGATTTTTGTGTTATTCTCACTTGAATTTTATGCGAAATATGATAGAATCGATTGATTTATTATGATTTGTTTATGATAAAATGAAAAAAAAAAATATTGCATCACTGAATCTGTTCGACTTTATCATGAAATATAAATTTTTTGTTTCCTCTTTATTTTACTTTTTTTTTCTCCTCTCGTTTCTTTTACTTGGGTTTTCGCTTCTGCCGGTCCGCCCACGCCCGAAACCCCAAAGAGCGTGAGAAGAAATCGCAAATGTGTACCCCCCCGAGCAATTCCTGGGTACTTGAAAAAGGGAAGAGATGAATAAATATGTGTTACAATCTTATTTCATGCAATATCCTGAAGCTATCGAGAGAGACGACAAAATTATCGATATCTACTTTTAGACCTCAAGACGAATTCTGGAAAACTTTTGAGAAACATCTCTCTGTCTTGAACCAGGAACAGTTTTCTGGAAATGAGAACAATATCATCGCCGTATAGCCAAAGAGGCGTAACTATTGCGCCCCTTTGGATCTGTGACGACGATATCATGAAGGAATTGTCCTTCTGAAGCAACTTCTTAACCTGAACTTTCCATCTTCCTAAGCTAGTGAGGAGTCTCTTTGAGTTGGCTAATTGCTGTTTGTTTTCAGATTAATAATGATCCAAACATACTGCCGGACGTGCGGCTGGTGATGCGGTGGAACGACACTCGGGGAGAGACAGTTGACGCAACCAGGGCAATGGTCGACATGATTTGCGACGGTGTTGCTGCATTTTTTGGACCAGAAGGCTCGTGTTACGTCGAAGCCATTGTAGCACAATCGAGAAATATACCTATGATCAGTTATGTGAGTTGATCATCATCTTCAAGGCATAATCTAAACTTCAACTTTTGTCACCATCATTGACCACATCTTCCCATCCTTAAACAATCTCAAAGACTTGAGATTTTTCCCTCACCTTCCCACCAAATTCATCAACTCCGTTGAAGATTCACTTCGAGTTCAATATCCCCTAGTCAATATGAAGTCAACAAAATCTCCCTTGTTCAACCCTCCTAGCTCCCCCTCTACTCTACAAAGAAGGCTCTCACCGAAAATTCTCCCATCCCCCAAAGATTCAAAGATTCAAATCATCAAAAACTAACCGAAGCGAAGGCACGTTTGCAGCAAAATACAACAATAAACACGTAAATTATCGATTCAAGCCATGTATTATTTCAATGAATACATTAAGTATTCATCCGGAGGGATGTATGAAGATTCTTGACAACGAAATAAATGCCTCTAGTGGCCCCCACGTTGCCGATGTACAAACGTCCACTTACGCGATATTATCGTTTACAATTGTTTGAGGGTTGACAAATGGTACGTACCATGAACTCGATTATTTCAATTTTAAAACAAGAGAAAATGATAATAAATGCGAAAATATTCATTATACGAAAGTGTCTTGCGTGAGGCCTAAAATACTTTCAATTAAGCTACTCAATTGGGACAAAATGACGCGCATTCATTTGAACTAATAAGAAGAGACAACTGACTGAGGAATCCTCTGTACTAATTCATTTCTGCTGAAAAACAATCCTCTTGGTTTCAACAGTTGCCGGTTTCCCCCCTCCCCCTTTTTTCTTGCTAAACTTTGGAGAGAAAAATTCATGAGGTTCAGATTAAATGCCTGACAACGAGTTCGTTTGAAATCTATATTTAGACCGTGACATTAGGTTCCGACGCAACTGGTGGTTTTTTTGTTGCTGACAAATTGATGCGATTAGATGTTATTTTGTTCTTATTCTCGGGATGAGGTAATACATTATTATTCAGAAATATTCGAATTGTTATTTCATTGTTTTGTGAGTGAATAGTGAAGGTAGTTGTCATTTTTCACTACATTTTTGCCTGAAGGATCATTTTGCGGACGCGTTGCGGACGAAAAGTTTGATTTTATAACTTAGGACGTAAAGTCGTATTTTACAGACGCGAAGGTAGTTGTTAAAACGGCGTTGGGGACCGGGAAATGGTTGTGAAGTGGTCTACGTACGTTATAGTAACGAAAAATTATATTCGTCACTCGGCCGAAAACAACTTTTCTGACTCGATTGACTATATTCGGTCTGCAACCTTTAAACTCGTCAAAAGTCTTTTCAGCCTTGTGACGAAAATAGCTACTTTGTTACGACGTATGTGAGCACGCGAAGCGTGCGTGAAACGCCGCTTCACGAACTGACTGACAAAAAATATAGTTTTTTTTACACCTTAGTCCAACCTAAGAGGTCAAATCGCTTTTTACATCCTAGTTAAGATTTCCAACTAGGCTGTAAAATGATGTATTAGATACAGGACGTCAAGTCAACCTTTACTCATTAAAAGCTAGTCCTTGAAAGATCGTTGGAGACGCAGAAGCGATTCTAAAATGGTCTATATGCGTCCGAGTAAGAAAAAGTATCGATTTTCATACCCATTTAGTTGAAGTATCATTTTATTAACTCCGCTAGTAGTCCATAAAGTAGACTTACGATACGTAAGCCAAAAAACGATCTTTTACAACCTAGTCCATAAAGTATTTACGGCAAAATCATCTACTTCGCAGCTTAGCACGTAATACCAATTTTTTCTACACACCTCTACATAAAACCCAACTTTCCGGACTCTTAAAATAAAAATCGTCTTTCACAGCCTAAAACGTAAAATATCACTTTCCACCCCCTATCAGCCCAAACCCACCCCCAGTAATTGACCGACATATCCAATTCCCCATCATCCATCTCCTCAAGTCCCATCACCGCAAAAAAATAACAAAGATCAACAGTTAAAAAACTCCTTCTCCCATCCCTCGCCGCCAATAAAACAACAACATCCACATATATATGTTAGTTGCGTCGAATGAAAGGCGTACGGCGGCAAGCAGGCGAGCATGGTGGTAGCCCCCATGGGTGGACCATACCGGACACCGTGGGATTCTCTTCTTCTCTTATACACAACCGATGTGCGCGAGGGAGGGAGGGAGGGGGGGAGAGATCGGTTCTGTTGGGACCGGTCGGTCGCTTCGAGCGATCGTGCCGGGGTCTAAATATATCCGAGATAAAGACCGCCAGTTAGCGAGCCAGTTCGACGCCGTTATCCTTCCTCCCACCTCCCCCTTCATTTTTTTTCATTTTATTTTATATTTTTTCATAATTTTTTTCTTATTTTTATTTATTTACTTTTTGCTCTTATTTCTTTTTGCTATGGTATATCCTACGGGTTTTCGTATCAAAGTGAGACAGAATTATATATGAAATGAAAGGGGGGTGCCAAATTGGCTTGAGAAAGGCGCGGGGGGGGGGGGG